AAAACCTGCCTGGAATTCTAGGTGGTTTTATCTGCTCAATTTTCGTGCTAACACTGAGATTTTGAAGCAGAACAGGGCATGGGAGTTTGCATGGGACTGACCCAGGTATTCTGTACATTTCAACCCAAACATGCCTGATTATTTGGGCTGAAGTGGAATTTAATGAAGCCTTGAGGGCTGTAATTGGTTTGGGGACCTGAAAGATTGAGTTTCTCCAATACCTGGCAGTCACAGAAGTGTTTAACCTCACCCCAATCCAAGTCCTTCACACCAGAGGCCCTGGCAGTGCTGGGATGTTGCATTTTGGGGTCCAAGCAGCCCAAACTTCTGCCTGAGAGGGTGGAACAAAACTCACAGGTTTATTCCCATGTGCATTCCTTTGGAAATGAACACATCTGTAAATCACATAGATCACAACTGCATATTCTAAAGGCATCTTTATATATCACCCAGAGGTTATAAATGTCAAAGCTATGAGCCATTAGCTGGTGGAAGAGTCAGATATGATGGCTGTGTATAAACAGCTGCATATTTATGATAACCTTTATATCTGAAAAATGTCAGGAGGAAAACACTATCAAGTGGTCAATTAACATGTTCAATAAGAATAAAAAATGCAAGCTGGGGGGTATACAAGACATATATTTAACAAATCTATATCTCCCTTATTTATAAAACAATTTTCTAAAACTTATTTTTAGTTCAATATCTGGCTTATTCCATAACATTTCTTATCTCAAAGTTTACATACACACTTTGTAAACCTTCGATCAAACTTTGAAAATTTTCTATAAATCCATTTCCCACATCTCCCAAAGCCCATATTTATGTATCATTATATACTATATATAATACATACTTATATATAAGCATCCANATATTCCAAATATGGGGGATTTTTCCTATTTAAAGCAGAGCTGTTACATATTTTAAGCTGAAAACTGATTAAAGGACAGGAATAAAACTCTGCTATGTGTGCTGTCCCTGCAGTTGACCTGTCCTGGATGCATTTCAAGTGCCTGTTTTGCACCCACATAATATAACTATAATATAATATATTAGCATCCAAATATTGGGGATTTTTCCCATTTAAAGAAAACTCGAGCTGTATGTATTATTAACTGAAAATTGAGGAAAGTACAGGACTAAAGCTGTGCTGTGTGCCCTGTCCCTGCCAAGTCACTTGCCCTGGATGCGTTTCAAGTGCCCGTTCTGCACCCACATGATATAATTATAATATAATATAGTATAATATAATATAGTATAATATAATATAATATATATATTAGGGATTTTTCCTATTTAGAGAAAGGACTAAAGCTGTGCTGTGTGCCCTGTCCCTGCAGGTGACCTGCCCCGCACGCGGTTCAAGTGCCCGTTCTGCACCCACATGATATAATTATAATATAATATAATATATATATTAGGGATTTTTCCTATTTAAAGAAAGGACTGAAGCTGTGCTCTGTGCCCTCTCCCTGCAGGGGACCTGCCCTGGATGCGTTTCAAGTGCCCATTCTGCACGCACATTATATAATTATAATATAATATATAAGTATCCAAATATTGAGGATTTTTCCTATTTAAAGAAAGGACTGAAGCTGTGCTCTGTGCCCTGTCCCTGCAGGCGACGTGCCTCGCATGCAGTTCAAGTGCCTGTTCTACACCCACATTATATAATTATAATATTATATAATATTATATAATATTATATAATATAATATTATATAATATAATATTATATTATATAATATAATATTATATTATATAATATTATATTATATAATATTATATAATATAATATAATATAATATTATATTATATTATATTATATTATATTATATTATATTATATTATATTATATTATATTATATTATATTATATTATATTAATATAAGATTTTTCCTATTTAAAGAAAGGACTAAAACTGTGCTGTGTGCCCTCTCCCTGCAGGTGACCTGCCCCGCATGCGGTTCAAGGGCCCATTCTGCACTCACATGATTAATATAATATAATATAATATAATATAATATAATATAATATAATATAAATATATTGAGGATTTTTCCTATTTAGAGAAAGGACTAAAACTGTGCTCTGTGCCCTGTCCCTGCAGGTGACCTGCCCCGGATGCGTTTCAAGTGCCCATTCTGCACCCACATGATATAATTATAATAT